GCGGGAGCTGCAGCAGCTGCTGCTGCAGCTGCTGCCTCCAAGGCAAGCTGAGGTCGTGGGGGCCTTAGGGGAGTGCGATGATAGAGGAGACACAGAAGCAGCAGCGCAGCAATGGACGGAGCAGCAGTTGCTGCCAGCTCTGCAGCTGCTGCAGCAACAGCGCAGCAGCAGCAGCAGCAGCAGCAGCAGTATCAGCACCAGTGTACAGGCTACGGCACGCACATTGCACAGCGCTACTTACTCCGATGAAGCAGCAGCAGCAGCAGCAGCAGAAGCAGCAGAAGCAGCTGGAATGGAGGCGGTGCGTATGTGGGTGGACCAGCGTAAGCATTGCTGCTGGTGCTCGTGTTGCTGCTGCTGCTGCTGCTGCTGTTCGTGCTGCTGCTGCTGCTGTTACTACTACTCTTGTGTGTGCTGCTGTCGGTATTGTCTCCTTTTGTTGCTGCTGGGAGTGCGGATTTCGCTCCTACTGCCTGCTGCTGCTGCTGCTGCTGTTGTTGTTGCTGCTGCTGCTGCTGCTGCGGGGGCAACTGGTGTTGCTGCAGGGGCAGCAGAAGAATTGTTATGTGGTTGCATGCAGATAAACCTCCAACTGTAGTAATTATTAAACAGGCGGAAGCAAAAACAGACAGCGGAAACGGCACAGCACGAGGCAGTCCCTCGCAGCAGCAGCAGCAGCAACAGCAGCAGCATCAGCATCAGCGGCCCTCATCCACATCTGCTCGCTTCGCCTTTGCTATGGAGCCTCTAGTGTTGCTGCGCAGCACCGATTTGGTGCAGCAGGAGGTGACGGCGGCAGATCCAGCAGCAGATGCAGCAGGATCTGGTGCTGCTGCTGCTGCTGCCGCTGCTGCAGCAACGTCTGACTGCAGAGAGCTGGAGTTTGATGTCACCTTGGCCCCTCGTTTGAGGTGTCACACAGCAGACACCCTCTACGTGCTGCCTCGAAACAGCAAAGAAGAGGTGCTTAGCTGCTGCTGCTGCTGCTTCCGTTGATGCTGCTGTTGCTGTTGCTGTTGCTGCTGCTGTTGCTGTTGCTGCTAGCATGTGCAACACGGCTCAGCCCACGAGAGACTGCTGCTACCGATGATGTCTCAGCTGCTGTCTCTACTGCTGCCTCTGCTGCTTCTGCTGCTGCTACTGCTGCTGCTGCTGTTGTTGTTGCTGCTGCTGCTGCAGGTTTTGTGGTGGTTTAAGGCCCTTGGCTTTGAGCAGCGAGGGATTGCACTGACAGACAGCATCAATTTTCAAGAGGAGACAGTCCCTTTTCCTACACCCTGTACTGTCGAGGTGCTTCACCTCCCCCCCAGCAGCAACGCCTGCTGCTGCTGCTGCTGCTATTGCTGCTGCTGGCACTGTTGGTGCTGCTGCAGCGGTTGCTGCGAGCTGCTTAGCTGCATCTACCCGCTTTTGCTGCTGTCGTTGCTTCTAGTGGTACTCGTTTTTGGTTCCCGTTGGGCTGCTGTTAATGCTGCTGCTGCTGTTGCTGCTGCTGTTGCTGCTGCTGTTGCTGCTGCTGCAGGACGCCCTTGCGCTGTACTGCAGCTTTGAAGTGCCCAGCAGGACAGAGCTGTCCGTCTTCAGCTGCTTCGTTGAGGAGCAGCAGCAAAGGAGACAGTGGCTGAGGCTAACTACCGACCCCACGGTGAATAACTATCCCTCTCTAAGGGTTTAGGGTTTAGGGTTTAGGGTTTGGGGTTTAGGGTTTAGGGCTGTCAGTTGAGGGCTTCAGGGTGTGGGGCCTCGGGCTCTGACGCCCAGGGTGCATCCCTGTTGCCTTGCTGCAGCAGCAGGTGCTGCGGCTGCTAATATGGTTTGTGCTGCTGCTTCTCTGCTTCTCTGCTTCTCTGCTGCAGCAAGCAGACACGTTTGCTGCTGCAATAAGGGGACAGGGCTGGTGTCTCCGCGGGTTGTTTGCTGCGCTGCTACCTTCAATCAACTTGGCGGCAGCAGATTTGGGGCTGCTGCTGCTGCTGCTCTCGCGGCACCGCATGCCCAGGGCCTACACCTTATCTTCTTCTCACCTGCAGCAGCCGCAGCAGGAGCAGCAGCAGGAGCAGCAGCAGCAGCTGCAGCAGCTGCTGCAGCGGCAGGTAACTCGGACAGCTTCTATCTGCCTCAACCGCCACCGAACGCCAAGAAAAGACCCTCAGCAGCTGTTGCTGCTGTTGAAGCAGCACGGTGAGTTACTGGGTGCAGCAGCAGCAGCAACAGAACCAGCAGCACCAGCAAAAACAGCAGCAGCAGCACAAACAGCAGCAGCAGCACAAACAGCAGCAACAGCAGTGGCTTAGGAGTATGCCACACTTGTCCGGATTCACAGCCTGCAAATAGGGTCATCATAAGCTTCGCTGTTGCTCTTTAGATTGTTGCTGCTGCTGCTGCAGCTGGTGCCACTGCTGCTGCTGCTGCTGCTGCAGGTGGTGCCACTGCTGCTGCTGCAACTGCAGCAGCAGCAGCAGCTGCTGCTGCAGCTGGAGTGCGTCTACTTGTTTGTGTGTCTCTTCAGGGATCTGTCCCTTCGGGTCTGCTGAGGGTTTGCCCAAAGGCATGCATGAGGGTCTCTGTTCTTCTTACCTCTTAAACCTGCAGCCGCTCCTTGGAGACAGCAGCAAAGAAGGAGCGGGGGGGGCCCCTGCTGCTGCACTCTGCTGCTGCAAGCCTTCCTGCTTCAAGCTCCCTGCTGGTGCAGACTGCCCGCTGCTGCTTGTTGCTGCTGGCACAGGTACGCTGGACCATGTATCTTGCTGCTGCTGTTGCTGCTGCTGCTGCTGCTGCTGCTGCCATTGTTGTCCCTCTGGTTGTTGCTGCTGCTTCAGTCGTGCACAAGATCGTAAAGGGCGACATTAGGGTTTAGGGTTTAGGGTTTAGGGTTTAGGGTTTAGGGTTTAGGGTTGCTGTGCTGCAGGCGTAGCTCCGTTTGCTGCGTTTGTGCGGCACCTTGCTGCTGTTGGGGGGCCCCACGCAGCAAACTGTCTCTTTTTCGGGTGTATAGACACCCAGCACTTCCTTTTTAAAGATTTGTTTCTGGCGCACCTCGATCAGCAGCAGCAGCAGCAGCCAGAGGTCCAGCAGCTGCTGGATATACACCGACAGCAGCAGCAGCAACAGCAACAGCAGCAGCAGCAGCAAAAGCAGCAGCAAAAGCCTGTGCTTAGTCGTCTGTTTCTTGCTCTCTCCCGCGCCAACCCAAACGTATGTCTGTCTCCTGTCTCTTTGTTTGCTGCTGCCTCTGTCTCCCTCAGCAGTGTTGCAGCTGTCTCTGCTGCTGTTGCTGTGGTTATGTATCTGTGCCAGCACCTACTGCTACTGCTGCTGCTGATGTTGCTGCTGATGCTGGGGCTGTGCATGCAGCGCAAGGTGTACGTACAGCACAAACTCATTGAAGAAAAGGACTTGGTGTGGGGTCTGCTGCAGTCTGGGGCTGCTATTTACGTATGTGGGTAAGCAATGATCGAGTTGCTGCTGCTGCTGTTGCTGCTGCTGCTGTAGCGCCTGGAGGAGCTGCTGCTACTGCTGCTGCTGTTGGGGTGTATGTACAGGAAGCCAGCGATGGGGGAGGCGGTGCAGCAGGCGTTTGTTTCTGTTGCTGCTTCTTTTGTTGGTGACAAAAAGGCAGAGAACTTAATTCAGCGCATGCACGAGAGTAAAACCCTGCTGCTCTATCTGCTGCTGCTGCTACTGTTTCTGCTGCTGCTTCTGCTGCTTCTGCTGCTGCTGCTGCTGCTGCTCGTGTTGGTGGAATGGTTGTGCGTATTTCTTTGTCTCCTGCTGCATCTTCTGGTGCTTCGGCGGGTGCTATTGTCATTACTGCAGTTGCTTTTGCTGCTGCTGTTGCTGCTGCTGCAGCAGAGTTTTCGCTGCATCTGCTGCTCTTAGTGCTGCTTTCATATTTGTGCATGCAGCTGGGCGGTATATAGAGGAGTTGTGGGATTAGGGCCCCTTTCTTGCTGCTGCTCCAAACCGAGCATTTGCTTCAACCTTCAGCAGACAGTACAGGGATCTAGGGGCTCCTACCCTCTCTAGGGCCCCCTGGGGCCCCTAGAGCTTCTTACAAACAATAGGGGGCCCCTCCGGTTCCTTACGAACAATGAGGGGCCCCCAGGGGGGCTGTTGGGGGCCCCTAAGGTTCGTTACGAGCGGTGGGGGGCCCCTGGGGGGCCCCCTGGATCCCCTGGGGTTCGTTACGAACACCCTATGAATAATGAGGTGCCCGTTGGGGGGCCCTCTTGGGTCTCTAGGGTTTATTTGAAGCATTAAGAGGCCCTCTAGGGAACCCCCGGAACCTTCAGGATCTTAGGGGCCCCGTTGGGGCCCCTCAAGAGGCCCCTGTGGGGCCCCTAATGGGCCCCTATGGTCCTTTTGGAGGGGTCTCTTTTTTTGTTTGTTCCGGAGCTTCGGGGGCCCCCAAGAGTAGAGGGGTATATATGTTTGTTGGGGAAGGATGCACGTGTTAGCCTGAGGTGTACAGACACCTGAGGAGCAAGTGGAGGCTGAGGACGCATGCACTGCCGCTGCATGCAGTGCAGGGGATCGTGGGGCTGGAACGGCTGCTTGCATGCATGCACGCATGCATGCATATAGGCGCGCATGCAACCGTTCAAATCCCAAACTCAGCCTCGCATGCACGCATGGTTGAGTTTGGGGCTTGGTTGCTGGGAGCGTCTCCTCTAGAGGGAGACAGAGCGAGGGAGACGGACATTCAAGAGAGTAGCAAAACCCTTAAGGAGGAGGGGGTGTAGCAAATGCATGCAGATGAACATACACCGCAATAAATAGACTCTCTGCTTTTTATAAGCTACCTGCCCTTGTCTGCAACATGTATAGAAAGAGAACGAACACATAAAAACTTGCATTGCAGTTACGGGGACAACACATATTGAGGGTTTGGCCCTAAGGGCTTGGAAGAGGGTTTAGTGTTTAGGGTTTAGGGTTTAGGGTGTAGTGGGAGGGGTAGGGAAGTCAGCCGCAAGGCATGAACACCTCTGTTCTACCCTAGACTTCAGACTTCTAGGGTTTAAGGTTCAGGGTTTAGTGCTTAGTGCTTAGGATTGAGGGTTTAGGGTTTAGGGTTTAGGGTTTAGGGTTTAGGGTTTAGTGTGTGCTGCAACCTAACCGTCGGTGTCCCCGCCGGTGTATGTACACCGGGGAGCTTTTGAGTGTTGTGGGGTCCAACCGTAAGGCAAACAAAGTTAATTAAACTGCAATGAATTTTTACTTCCTCTTGCTGTTGCTTCTGCTGCTGCTGCTGCAGCTGTTGCTGCTGCTGCTGCCATTGCTGCTGCTGCTGCTGCTGCTGCTGCTGTGTCCTGAGGTGACCTCGCGTTGCGGCGTGCAGCGCTCGCGTTTATTTTGTGATAAACTTCAGTAAAGAGAATGAGAAATATATTAATATTACTTTAATTGATTTAAAATAGAATGTTCTGCTTCTATTAAGTGTATATACACCGCACGCTTGCAGCCGAGCAGGGCGCCAGGCAAACGCTCCGCAGTCCGGTGGCCAGAGGGGCCCCTGGGGGCCCCCCTGTTGTAAATATATTAAATAAACTAAATTTAATAACTCTTTCTGCTTTTAAATGCTGCTTTATTCTAAATAAAAAGATAGATGCAGGGATATAACGTTCCGGAGACACCTCGTCTGCAGTTGGGGGGCCAGCTGCTACACTGACCACCCGAGGGTTTAGGGTTTAGGGTTTAGGGTTTATGGTTTAGGGTTTAGGGTTTGTTTTTAGTGGAGTATTGAAGGTGTCACTTAACTCAAGAGTTTCACTTGCCTTCTTTCGCCTCAAGAATCTTCTGCAGCAGCAGCTGTTGCTGCTGTTGCTGCCGCCGCTGCTTCACTTCTCAGCAGCAGCAGCATCAGCAGGAACAGCAGCAGCAGCAGCTACAGCAACACAGCAACAGCAGCAACAGCCTCAACTGCTTTAATCTTCTTCTGTGTCTCCTCTTGGAGTCTTCGGTCTAAGTTGGCCCAGTGTCCAACCCTAAAAACCCTAAACCCTAAACCCTAAACCCTAAACCCTAAACCACACACTGCACTAGAAGCCCCACGGGTTAGGGCAGAATGTGATGCCCCTCTTTGTTTCTTTTCCTTGACTAATTGCTGCTGAGATTGGGGTGTACGTACACCTCAGCAGGCAGCTAAACAAATACGTTCATTGAGGGAGCGGGCCCTTAGGGGCCCCTGCAGCAGCGCGCTGCAGGGCCCCTTAATGAGGAAGCAGCAGCAGCAGCAGCAGCAGCAGCAGCCCCAAACCCTAAACCCTATAAACCCTAGTCCCTAAACCCTAAACCGTAGAGGCAGGAGCGTCTAAGGAAGCCCTACAACTTTTGCGAGGCCAATGGGGGCTGTCCAGGGCTCAGAGAGAGCAGCATCCTGGGAGTTGCAGCAGCAGGAGCAGGAGCAGCAGCAGGAGCAGCAGCAGGAGCAGCAGCAGGAGCAGCAGCAGGAGCAGCAGCAGGAGCCGCCGCTGAGGCAGCAGCAGCAACAGCAGGAGCAGCAGCAGGAGAAGCAACAGCAACAGGAGCTGCAGCAGCAACAGCAGGAGCAGAAGCAGCAACAGCAGCAGCCAGGGGAGCACCGGGGGGAAGAGCAGCAGCAGCAAGAACCGCAAGGCCAAGAGCAGCAGCAGCACGAGCAGCAGCAACAGGACCAGCAAGTGCAGCATCCTCTGCAGCAGCTGCAGCAGCAACAACAGCTGGAAGGCGATCCACTGGAGCCTTTGCTACAATGGCAGCAGCACAAGCAGCAGCACACACAGCAGCAACACAACGACCAGCAGAACGACCTTCAGCTGCAGCAGCAACAGCAGCAACAGAAGCAGCAAGGGCAGCAGGAGCAGCAGAAGCTCGAATTGCAAACAGAGCACATCAGCACCGATGCTAGCGGGAGTTCCTATCCCTTTGCTGGGATCCAACCGCTGCAGCAGCAGCTGCAGCAGCAGCAGCAGCAACAGCAACAGAAATGGCCAGAAGAGGAACGGGACCAGCAGCAGTCTCTGCAGCAGGAGGATGCGCAGCAGGATCCGCAGCAGGATCCGCAGCAGGGTCCGCAGCAGCAGCAGCCAGAGAAGCAGCAGCAGCTGCTGGTCGAGCAACCTACACATCAGCCCCAGCAGCAGCAGCAGCAGGTGCCGCTGCCACAACAGCCGGTGCAGCAGGAACAACCGCAGCAGCAGCACGTGGGTGGCTCTGAGCAGCAGCCACAGCAGCAGCGGCAGCAGCAGGGGATGCAGCAGCAGGTGCAGCAGCAGGAGCAACAGCAGCAACAAGAGCAACAGGAGCCCGTTGAGCCCGTAGATAATAAAAGCAGTGTTTGTGGGGTGGTTCCTGAAGGTGGGATCGTCTGCCCCACGACTGGGATCGGTTTAATCGTCACTGCAGCAGAAGACTCAGGAGAACCTGTGGGGCCACAGCCCAACTCAGGTGTATCTGCAGAGGGGCCCCTAGGGGCCCCTGTCTCATCCCTTCAGCTTCCTTTGCAGCAACTTCCAGGGGCAGCAGCAGCAGCGGCAGCAGCAACATCAGCAGCAGTAGTAGGAGCAGCACGAGCAGCAGCAACAACAGCAGCAGCACCAGGAGCAGAAGCAGCAGAAGCAGAAGCATCAGGAGCAGCAGCAGCCACAGCAGCAGCAACAGCAGCAGCAACAACAGCAGCAACAGCAGCAGCAGCAGGAGCAGCAGCAGAAGCAGCACCAACTCGGGGCCGTCTGCGTACAGCTGGGAAAGGAGACAACGAAAGACTACCTCGAGACTGCTCAGGATCTGTCTCCTGGAGGCTCAGTGACTCTGTTTTTAGACAAAGAGTTAGAGAGATATGTGCAAGGGCTGTTGTTCACCCTTCTATTAAGGAGACAGGCTCGGAGACCCCTTCATCTGCTTCTGCTGCTGCTGCTGCTGGTGCCAGCGACAGCGCAGCGATAACCCACCCGAGACACAGCAGCAGCAGCAACAGCAGCAGCAGCAGCAGCAGCAACAGCCGCACTAGCAACAGCAACAAAAACGCCGGAGCCAACAGCGACAGCAGCAGCACGCCGGCCTGCTGCTGCTACCGCAACGGCAGCAACAGCAACAGCAGCAGCAGCAGCAGCAGGGATATTCCTCGTCGCGGTTGCAGCAAGACATTAGGAATAACAGAGTTAAGAAGAAGAGCTGAAGAAATAGAAAGAGGGGCCCCCTCTGCCTTGGAGACGCCTAACCTCCTTGATGAGGTTCAGTACGTCCGCTACAAACTCGCAGACAAGTCTCTTTGCATTTTCCTCGTAAGAATAACAAACAAAGGGTTTAGGGTTTAGGGTTTAGGGTTTAGGGTTTAGGGGTTAAAACGTAGGGTTTAGGGTTTAGGGTTT